AGTGGAGCTAACCACCATAAAGCCACACCCGGAGAGGTGAAAAATGCACGCAGATCTGCTGCTGCTGCCCTGCGGCTTTGGACCAGGCAGTTAGGGAAGAAGGAGGGGAGAGAAAGGGATGGTGAAAGAAGGGATAGACGAGTGTGGTCTCAGTAAACGTACAGCTTCTCACAGGGTGGATGTGTTTGTTTTTCTGACAGCTCCCAGCCCCAGCTGACAGACACTGGAAAAGTAACTGGGAAAAAATGTGCACACTGGAGTGATGAGAGGGAGATGGAGAGAAGGGGGGTGGAAGTGCAAGACTGGGATGACTATCAAATTAAATGTTGTTTAAGGGGAGTTTGGGGGATATTTCTGCAATGCACCCAGCAGCTGATTTTGAACCTCCTACAATGGGAAGAATGTGCGTGCACGGCCACAGGCACGCGCCTCTGATCACACAAGGCATTTGGACTGTCAGGGGACTGGGAGGAGGGAGGCTGGAGACAGAAGTGCCTGCCTAGAAAAACACCAGGCGCAGGAAATACAGTTTTTATGGCTGTTTCAGCGACGCTGCGCTGCATTACGCACGCAAGATTCAGCAAAAAGAAGATGTGAGACAAACACGAAGAGGAGAAAAGGAAACACTGGAGGGGTGAGACATGTGGGAAGCAGCTTGAGCAGTTTGACTTGGGTCACATTTAGCAGAAATAACCGGCTCAAAGGGAAATAACGCGCAACGATACTGATGTTAAATATTTAAAATACACGTGGTTTTGCGCAGAGAGCCACCCAAGTCGCACGATGTCAAGTTTTTAGTCACAGTCAAGCAGCTGCACCCACAAAATCTAAACAAACTGTGGCGTCACTCCGCTGCTTTTGGCATCACACCGGGGCGCTAAGCCGCCTCTCGTCCCCTGCGTGGGAAGACAGGCGAAGCCGGCGCCTCAGTGCGCGCACAGGTGGAGACGCGTAAAGCAGGAAGTCTGTTTACCTGCCTGGTGAAGAGGATGGCGGCATCGTGGTGGTGCTGGTGGTCATCGTCCAGCGGGTTCTGCTGGTTCTGCCACTTGCAGAAGCTCTTGAGCGTCGCTGCCGCGTTCTTGGACACCTCCAGCCCCTTCTCCTTCTCACCGACCGTGGTCACTTTCACCACCGACAGCCGGATCGGGTTCTCAATGCTGGCGTGCCCGTACAGCTTGGAGGCGATGGAGGCCAGTGTGAGCAAGTAGTGGTTCAAGTCTTTGCCGTATTTCTTGATCATAGTGTCATCAGCCACCAGGAGCAGCTCCACGTGCCTGGCGCGTGAGACCGACCTCTTGCGCCGCGCGCCAGGCTCCGGAGCGGCTGCTTTGGCGAACCGGCTCCACCAGTCCCGGCCATGCTCATCCGCGCCCTCCCTGCTGAGCCCCTGTCGCTCCCGTCTCCCCTTCCCGCGACCTCTGTGCCGCCGCTTCCCCGCCGCGTCTCTGCGTCCTCTGCGCCTGTCGCGCGTCCCGCAGCTCTCGCGCCCCTCGCTCATGGCCTCGAAGCTGAAACTTTCGCGCGTGAACACGTGGAGCGCGCTCTCCGCGTCCTTGTCCTGCAGGGCGCGCACGTCGTGCTCGTGTCCCTTCGCCCTGATGATAGGTGTGATGGTGTAGCGCGACTGGTTCACCGCGAAGAAGCCCTCCAGCCCTCCTCCGCACAGGTTGAACACGGCCAGAGACTCCGAGTTGGAGTTCACTGTCCCGCGGTACACGCACTCCCGCTGCACAGGCGCAGGGCTCTGACCCATCATAGCGAGCACGTACTGGGGGCTGAAGTGATGCGACAGCACCGACTCATCCCGCTCCATGTCCAGCTGAAACCGGCTCCCATCCAGGTACACCAGGTACCCAACCTTCCCTCCTCCGTGGTAAATCCGGTCAATGGTCCGCACCACCCCGTCTGTCCTCCGGGCAGGTGCGAGAAGCGACCCGCTCGCAGGTGGAAGATAGAAACCCTGGAAAGTAGAAAGCCCGGTACCCAGCTCCAACTCCACGACGCACAGCAACAGTAGCCGAAACCAGAGCATGCCCCCGGCCAGAGCACCAAGGAGCCGCACCATTGTTCATTCCAACCCGAAAAACATCTATGTATCCACTAAAACAAACCCGGAGCGGCAGAAGAGACAACTTTTTGTTCCTCCAAAAAGCGCATCCTCTCGGTGTCCAGATCCCCCATGCAAAAACAGTCAGTAGTAACCAACAGGCAAGCAAACAAAACCATTGAGGAAGGAAAATGGGAAAGAAGAAAAAAAAAGCGCAGCAGAGAGGGAGTGTGTGCAGGCTGGAGAGCACTGAGCTGAACTTGGAGAACAAAAACACAAAGTTTGCTCTTAATAGGACCCGGAGAGAAAAAGTCCTGCCCCCTTTGCGCTCAATCACCACTCCTCCACCCCCCCTCTTCTCTCTGTCTCTCCCCTCTCCCTCTCTTCCTCAAATCAGAGTAAAGTCAAGTGCTGGAGGAGAGCAGAGGAGAGGAGAGAAACCTGAACAACGCTCTCACTGGAGTATTTCCCTTTTGCCTCAGCAAAGGAAAGAGGAGGCTGTTATTGTTTCCATCCTCCTGAATCATCTTGAGGCAGACTGAATGTAAATGATGACTTTCAGGTCACTTCTGCTTCGGAATAACATCCCTTCTGATGTTTTCATTAAATCCAAGGTATCACTTGTAGGTTACGTAAAACATCACCAACAGCCACACAGGACCAACAGTGTTTTAAAAAGTGTCTCCATTAAACACCAGCCTGTTATTTTTACACTTTGGCCACTTTAACTCCTTTAATAATTGAAGTCCAACACGATTTGACTGGAGAGTTTCTAGCAAACTAAAGGGGGGGATAGATAATTTATGGCCATTCCCGAATAAGAACTCTGGGAGTTCACCGTTCCCATGCGAGACATTTAATGGTGTGTTAGAGCAGGAGGAGGAGGAGGAGATCTGTGCACACACTGGGTGCTGTATGGCCTCACTCGGGTTTGAAAAGTCAAGAAAAAAAAAGAACTCTGCAGGTGTGTGACTGTGTTTGCCCTGCGAGCTGTCTTGATTATTTATTGTAGCTTTAGGGAAGTGAGTGTGCCGGTGCCAATGGGATGTCATATTTGTGTGCTGAGAGGGATTTAGCCATGCGTAGCTCACTGGAGCTGAAGTCACCGTGTCTCTCTCATGCACAAACACAAGCTCTCAGAGGGCAGCCAACAGGAGCTTTTTTCGAAAAAAAAAACTCTTAAAAGTTCCAAGCTCATGTGCTGAGTCACCTAACAGCTATTACCTCTGCACATCACGGAGGGGGGTTTCTGTCTGCATGCCAAGAAGAAGGCCTCTCTCTTGTGGATGCGCACACCAACCTCCCCAGCCTCGCCGAACTTGAGAGCGGATATTGCATTTCAAGTTTGTGGCGTCAAACGGCGAGAGACCGTGTCTGCGAAAAGCGGCGCGCTAATCCAAAGCCTTTTGGAGCGGTGTGGGCAAGCGCGGATGCAGCGAAAAGGGAGTGGGCGTGAGAGCGCATGTGGGCGGGCGGCGGAAGCCAAAAACGGGAACACGGTGTGCTGCCGCCGTAAAGCCTCGGCACCCCTGTCAGAGCCCGCCGTGGTATCACCCACGCCGATGATACGAGCTGTGTCCAAACGAGATAAACTGGGGTGGGGTTGCACAGAGCGGGGGGGCCCAGCTTCACCTCATGACCTCTGAAGTGCTACCTACGGCCCTGCTGCCTCAACACGGCCACCACTGCACCCTGGATCCGGTGTCGAGCTGAACTTCACGTCCAAATCACCCAGCTGTTACGCAACCCATCTCCCACCCCCACTGCCCGTCTCTTTTTTCCCTTCCTGTCCTCAAGTCTCATCTCAACCCCCCTCTGACTGCTTCTCCTTTACACCAAACTGTCAAGTGTATCTCCAGGAGCACAAAAAAAAGAGACACCAGCAAAGACAGAGCCAGCGAGAGCTGCGTGTGAAAAAGGATGTTTGATCAGGGCGGTGTGACGGCAACATGGACCCTGAGAAACTGTGGTTTTCCTGCCACATATTTTGAAAAAGAACTGCTAATACATGTGATGAAAAGTGCTGCAGCTGCAAACTAATGGCACCGAGCCGGAGCACTAATGAACTTTCCACAGCATCTTTCAAAGCTATACTGAAACAACACACAGATACAGCGTTTGGCTCGCATCCCCCCCGCTACAACGTCCTCCTCTCCCTCCCCTCCTTCCTCTCTCCGCTTTGAATCTCACACACTCAGCCCATTGGATCGTTTTTAATCCCTATCATCTGAAAGCGAGATGTATGCCAAAGCAACCATATGGACATAAACCGCCCCCGTCGTATCCACACACACACATTTACACAGTAACCCGGATCACACGTGCAAAGCGGGCTGCATACAGTATCGCGCGTCACCAAAACAAGTTGTGTGTGTGAACCCCCCGCGTGCCGAGCCACGTGTGAGCAGGGGGGGACCGGCCCACTTCCTACGGCGGCTGGGAGGGGAAGGGAATCCAATACGGTTAATTGACAAAGCCGAGCCTTTTACATAACCGGCAGGCTCTGTCTAAGTGGTGGTGTCAGAATTCCCCCCGGCGCTGCTTCTGCTCGCCTCTCTCCCCTCCCTCTCCATCCTCCTTCCATCTCGCCTCCTCCTTTCCATCCCTTCATGGATGTTAAACCAGCAATTCCCATCAGGGCGAAGAGAAAACGGCAATCAGAGCGCTTGTTCTCGGCTAAACAGCTGACCAAGTGTCCCTTTTTTCCCCCCCACCCCCCTTCGTCTCTCGCCGTGGAAACCAGGTGTGTTCCCAGCATCTGTTACCATGGCGCCGAGGGAGAGAGCGACGTCTCCTGGGTGACAGGTAAACGCAGTTCTGTTGACACACCTGCACACACACACACACACAGCTCCTCACTCAACTTGAAACAAACACAATCAGCAGAAACTCCACAACGTACAGATATATATAGATATATTCATTTTAGAAAAGAAAACAATGGTGCACATACAAAAAAGCCCATTTTAAAATAAAGAGGCACACCTGTAAACAGAGATGACAACACACTTGGATCAGTCTGAAGTAAATGAAAGCCTTTTAAAAGACACCAGATGGGCTTTTTTCGCATTTCTGGAGCTGCCTCTTGTTAAATTAATCTCAAGAGGAACGATTTTTTTTTGAAAGGATTTCAATCAAAAACACTGATCCAGGTCTGAATGACAGCAGTTTCAAGTTTGCATACGGAACTGATTCATCATTGAACGTTATCGAACACTCGCTCGAGAAATGCTTCTGGAGGTTTTTTTTACACAAGCAATCCCAGTGAAGAGTACATTCTGTCCCAGACTTACAGTACAGTGAGTTGATGGTGATTTCACATTGCAACCAAAAACCCCACTGAGACGCTGAAAAATAGACGTCATGACGATGAAATAAAAAAAAAAAGGCAAGAAAGCAGGATGTAAAGTAAATTATTAAAGCATGTTCTTATCTGACATTGCACGCCTTCCAGCTCTCGTCTAACGACTTTATGAATTTAACTTGTTTTTGTTAAAGGGCTTAGAAGTGATGATGACACACCAGCCTCGTCCAGACAGATACATGCATGTCGTCAGGGGTTAGTAAAAAAAAAAAAGAAAACAAACATGAGACCGTGTTTCTTCGTGATTTCTCCCATTTGCACATGTACCTTCTTCTAAAAACATCCGTACATTGCATAGAGATCATTCATGTCTACTGCATGTTACCATTCAAAATGTTACAGTTAAAGCCCTCTGCAAAAACAATCACTATGGAGTGGTGGAGTCACTAAAAAAAAAAAACATTTTAACTTAAACATTTGGAATATAAACTATTGTGGATTCTTCTTTCTCCAAAAGCAGCAGCCACACTGTCATGCTGCGTGCTTATTCAGATGCTATGATTGCATGTTTCCCAGCTTGATAAATGACTTTTGTTTACAGTGCAAATATGTGCTAATAATGCCTTTCGTAAAAAATAAAATAAAATTTAAAAAAAATTGCACTTTCTCACGTGCACAGCAACTTCTAAAAATTTTTTGCAAACTTTGCTGCTCACTTTTTTAAACAACAAATATGTGTAAGGGATGAAAAACGGATTACTGCACATGTCAGTTATTTTGTTAGCAACAAAGTGCTAATATAATCAAGTTAGCACTTTGAATATCGGCAGTAAACAGCAGCCAATGCAACTCCTGCACTAGCTCAACTTGGTCTAAGGCGTGTTATGAACCATTTAAACTCCATGAGAGGGTGAAGCACATACAAAAAAAAATAAATCCTAATAAATCAATGAGAACACATGTCTGACTCATGGAGTCATTTCAAATGATACCTTCACCCAAAGAAATCAATAAACATTCATTGGAGAGTCAAAATCGAAGCAGACATGTTAACACAAGCGGTGATCTCTCAAGCTCTCATAGAGAGTATAAAAAGTAATGATAACTGTGTGATGCTGGCAAAAAAAAAAAAAAGAAGGGACATCTGCGTTTCTATTCAGTTGCATCGTGTGTGTTGAAAGGCTATAGGGGTTACATGGTCCTCAAGTACAGTAACTGAAAATTAAAAAAAAGACGCTAGAGAGATGCTAAGAAAGGAAATAAAACACTTAAGATCCAGGAGTGTGTGCTGTTATACAAAAACCAACTGTGGTGGCCGGGAACAGGGTGTGGAGCTGCTCTTAAACGTTACGCAAACAGTGTCCCAATTCAGGGTCGGATCTTCTACAGAGGCCTCTTGACGGCGAACCAGAACCAACCCAGGCTGCCTTCACTCCACACAGGTGCTGCCAGATGTCCATGACGTTCTATCACACGAGCTGGCGGACGTACTTGGTCGATCGTAAACGTACGTTTTCTGCACATTATCTTCAAAACAACAATCTGAATGTAGAAATCTGGTCACATGGTTGATCACCTGAATGTCCCATTAAAACTGGGGTAGGCAAAAATCTTGGATAAAAAAAACAAAATAACAAAACTCCCAAATAGCCAGAATTTAAAAATATACAACCTTCATTTGTAGCTTCACCCAAGAATTCTCCATCTAACCCAATGCGCCACCACCTCCTCCTCTTGCTGCCAACTCTGTACTGTCTCACCTACTGTGGGTGAAAAGCCCTGTGATTGGCTAAAATCTCCCATCATTGGCTTGATTTTTCAACCAAGAGGCGGCGCAGAAGTCTAGCTTCCTCTCAAACCAAATGAATTACGATATGCTTAAAGCTTATATAGAGTTCTATCCAATGATGCTAAAAAAAATAAACAATACTGCCTACCCGAGCTTTAAATGTACACCTGCGTGCAGTGGGTTCCAGGATGCTGAGCTTACAGTGGTGGTGCCCTCCAGATTCAAACACATTTGACAATCCTCTGATGTAAAACAGGCCCCGTCAGCCAAGTCCGAACACATTTAGTCTGTTTATGAAGTCTCTCGAGCATCCGGTCCCTCCATTGGGATCCAGCTGCGTTAACTCTCCCGTTCGGCGCACCCGATTGGCTGAGCAGCATCAGCAATGTTCGATTGTTGTTCATTGTTTTCAGGTCTTCTGGTCCTGCATGAGATCTGTGATCGGCTCCTTTGGTTTCTCGGTGAGCGGCAGTGTGGGGCTGTAGGTGAGCGCCGAGCCGTTGGGGGAGAAGGGGTGGAAGGCCAGGGATGAGGGTTTGGTGGGGCTGCACAGACGATGGAAGCGCTGCGAGGTGAAAAAGTCACAGTTAGTTTACTGTATAACGCTCCTAAACACTCTGAATTCATCTTTTGTTGTGTACATTTCAGCTTCCTCAGACAAACGTAAATGTGCTGGTCCTACCTGTGGCAGGGTTCCTGGGGTGGTGATCAGGGCGTAGATGGCCCAGATGGGAAGCAGGGAGACGGATGAGAGGGTAAGTAGCCAACCCAGGACGGTGGCCCAAGCTGGAGCGACCAGTCCTTTCCCCAGGTTTAGCGGAGACCAACGCACCAGGGAAAAAACAAAGGTGGCCTTAAGGAGAAAAGAAAAAAGGACCACACATTGGAGAAACTATTTATCATGCCATTACACAGAAGTAGATCAGGTTTACACCGCAGGGCTACTCGCTAAACGTCAACATTTGATGCCAAAAATGACAAACACAGTTTAATTGCAGCTTGGATTGAACACCTCTGAGGCAGCTACTTAAATAGCTTTCTGTGGATGAATAGCTGGTTATTCACTTCCTTGCTGGTAAGAGGTAGATTAGAAGGCTGCTAATACTCTCATAATATGAGACTGGCAAACAGCCTGGCTCTGCCAAAACACCTCGAACTCCCCACAGTAAACACGTAAAACCTCCCTCAGCTGAGATCAGCTTGCAGATTACGTCTTTTTTGACACTGGAGTGCATTTAGAACCCTGCCAGAGGAGCTGAGGGTTGCTTTTCCTGCCGCAGTTGATATTAAAAAACACAAGCATCCAGCTGATTTTTGCCGTCGAGATACAAGAAATACTAATTGGTATGACGGAAATCCAGACACATCAGTGGACTGCTTGTCGGCTGAGGTTCAGTGCTTATAAAAAGCATCCACCCCTTTTTCTCTTTTCATTGCTTTTCAATATCAAATCATGTGCAATTTGTTTGGATTTGTTTTTTCATGAGAAATTACAAAAACATCCTGTTGTGGCAAAGTGAAAACAGATGTCTACAAAGTAATGCTAATTAATTACAAATATAAAATAAGTCATTGCGTAACTTTCACCATTGAGCAGGTGCATGTTTGGCTGCGATTGCTGCATTAATCCTGTGTGAATGTGTCTCCATCAGCCTTGCACATCTGGAGTTTTCCCCCCATTCTTCTTTGCAAAACTGCTCAAGCTCAGTCATGCTCAGGTTCGATGGGAATGGTGAGTTAATAACCCTTTTCAAGTCCAGCCATAAATTCTCATTTGGCTTGAGGTCTGGGCTCTGACCTGTCCTTAAGCTGTTTCTGTGTAGCTTTGGCTGTATGCTGATACTTGACAATGATGCTGCCACCACCGTGCTTCATGGTAGGGATGATGGGATGAAGATGTGCAGTGTCACACCAAAGAACCTTCTTCCATTAGACTTCAGAGTCTACTACGTACCTGTTGGCTAACTCTTGTCAAGATTTGCTTTTTCCCCCAACAGTGGCTTTTTCTTCGCCACACTACCATAAAGTACACTTTCTCTTCCATCTCAACTACTGAAGCTTGTAAGTCCTTCAAAGGAGGTGTCTTGGTGGCCTCCCTCACTAGCCTCTTTCTTGCATGGCTACTCAGTTTTTAACTACAACCTGCTGGAGGCATATTTACACTTGTTCCACTTATTAATGATGGATTTTAACTGTGTTCTGATGGAGGAGGTTTCCTATGCTTTTCAATAACCTTTTAAAGGCTTGGAGTGTTCTTATCTTCTCAATGGTGTAGTAATGGTATAGCCAGAAGTACTAATTTATGACTGGACCTTCCAGATAGAGGTGTATTTATACACTTCAGTCACTTTCACTGCACTCCGATGGTCTCCAGTTTCACTCATTGTGTGACTTGTAGCAACAACTGGCAGCACATTTGTTGAATTAGATGAGAAACTTCCCATAGGGTAAATACTTGTGCAATCACTCACTTTGCATTTTATAGTTTTAATTATTTTTTTTTACATCACTTTAGAAAAATCTGTTTCCATTTTGGCCTGGCAGAGTCTGACAAAAAAAAAGTCTAATTAAATTGACCATGATTCAATTCTGAAAAGTACTAAAAAAAAGGAAAACTTCCAAGTGGGACTTTTTATAGTCACTGTGGATGAGCTGACAGGCCGAAGGTGGAGTTTGAATGAAATCCCAACACTGCGTTTAATTGCATTCTATTTCACAGCATGCCGACACTGAAGAGTGCGAAAGCGGGTCAGCGGGGAGAGGCTACTCACAGTGCACACGGCCGGGGTCAAGTATTTCCAGCACAGCTTGAAGGCAGGCGTGGGGTTGTAGCCAGTCATGTCCCTGATGTTGGCGCAGAAGCGGTCGGCTCCTGTGGCCAAAACAAGAGCACCGTGAGCTTTGGTTGCGGTTCAGTTTGACATCATGGTTTGGTGGCGGTGGCCAAAATTTTGGTTAGAAAACTTTTTTTTTTCTCCCACGACAGCGGAAAACACAAGAAAAATGCACAAGACCCTGACAGGGAAACAAGAGGAAGAAAACATGTTTCTGTTTTGCAGCAACAGTGAGGGGAGTAGTTGTGTTTATAAGATAGGCATGGCTGAAAAGGTGGCAGAGCCAGATTTGATTCAGAAACAGCTTGCAATTCTGAAGGTTGTTATTAATATTAGATAACTATAACCTTGCCATTGCTGCAAAAGGCTGTAGAATTAATCTCTCCAAAGGAACGAGGAAACTTTGTGACACAAACACAAGGTGATCAACATTATTTTTTATGTCTCGTGTGTTTTTTGGTGACTTTAAGCGTCCCTCTTTGCGTAGATCATCTTCCCTGAGTTTCTAGAATTCTTCCTCCAGCAGCAGAAGAGGGTTAGTGGCTGTCAGAGTGCTTAAAAAACTGTAAATTCCCACAGCCATAAAAAAAAAAAAGGGGGAAAAGGTGCAGTGGAGTCCTGACCGCCGTGTTACCCAGTCCACTTAAAAACCCCTCTGCGCAGCTCGACTGCTGCACTCACCTACTGCTGGGAGAGTCATAAAAACAGACTTTGCCGGTATTCGTATGCACCCACACGCACACATTCTCTGCCGACACATCCAGCCTGTTCGTCATCTCCTGCAGTGGCACGACTCTTTTTGACGTGTCACAACTTTTCCGGCTCCTAATTCTTCACCAGATATAAAGTTAGCCGTCTAAATCCCGATCGCATTGTCCCGATGTATCTACGTGACACATTCCACTCATCTCGCACTTAAACAAACAGTGTTTTTGGAAATGCTTTGGAGCCCCATGTCTGGCTGGGATAGGGGCTCCCTGGGGCCGCCAGACTGAGACTGAGAGGCGACGGGGCCCGGGGGCTGATTTAGGGCCCAGAGGAGACAGACAGGGGCCTGGCTAGGAGCCAGTCTCCTTACAACAGTGGGTAGCTGCAGCCATGTTAATATACTGTCTACTGAGTCCAAGTGGAATGCAGGAGGAGGGGAGGAAGTGGACAGCTCGACTGTGTGTGTGTTCATCAGATTTCAGGAATTACATTCATTAGTGATAAAAAAAAAAAAAAAAGTTTTATGTAGATTTTCCATATGAAATGACAACCATCAGCTCAAGATTGTTTTGGCATTTTCTGATTTGGCAGAAAGTGAAATCCTATTGTCTGAGCTCCAACAGACTTTAATTAAACTCAGACAGAGAGAAATAGGCTGCTAGGAACTTTTTCCATTAAATTAATCCTAGATTAAAGAAAGAAAAAAAAAGAAAAGAGGAGGAAATGAAGTGAGGTGACAAAGAAAAGGAAAAGAGGAAAGGAGGATAGGAAATGAAGTGGGAGAGGAAAAGAAGTGTAGAAAAGTTGAGAAACAGGAGGGAAAAGAGGAATATTATGAAAAGGAGAAAGGAAAAGAACAAGAAGAGAGGAGACAAGGAAAGGGAAAAAGAAAGAAAGAATGGAGGGAAATATAGATATACAGAAAAGGACAAAGAGCAAAGATGAATAAGGAAATAGGAAAAGAAAAGTGACGAGGACAGAAGAAAGGGAGGAGTGGAGGAAAAAGTGAAAGAAAACTGAGAAAAGTACTGAAGAGAAAGGGAAAGAAAAAAGGGGAAAAAACAAGGACAGAAAATGCAAGAAGAAGATAGGAGTGAAAGATTGGAAAATAAAGGAGAGAGTAAAAAGACATGAAAAAGTAAACAGAGGACAGAGATGGAAAGAAACAGGAGGAGAAACAAGAAAAAGAAAGCAAATTAGAGAAGGAAAGGTTTCGTACCGTAGACCCAGCCGATGGCCAGAGACTGGAAGATGGAGAGAAGCAGCAGACTGGCTCCACTGCAGGAGAAGTGGTCATAGATCTGGAACACATAGAGGCCACCCTGCAGACCAACACAGGAGAAAACACTCCATTACTCTATATCAATAAACAGCCCGGAGGAGAACGTACACAACCTGAGCGAGACTTACCGGCGTGACCATGACCAGCCCAACCAGGAAGCACACGATGCAGACCGCCAGCAGCAGCAGCTCCCTGCGGTGGCCTCGTCTGATCACGTGAGGGTACAGGTCGGCCACCGACGTCATCAGGGCCTCCAGGCTCACAAACTGTGTGACAGAGGGGGGAGGTCAGCATGTGTGCTCACTGATAAATCAGTACATCAGCGGCATTAAATGCAGCTTATCAAACGTGGTGTGACTGTACCTGTGTGTCCAGGCCCAGCATGATGATCATGAGGAAGAAGCAGACGGCCCAGAGTTGGGGAACAGGCATCATGGCTACGGCTCTCGGGTAGGCGATGAAGGCCAGGCCGGGCCCTGAGAGGACAGAAGGAAAACACAACAACAGAAAGTACAAGTTACTCATAGTGTATATGAGGTATGTTTCACATTCTTCTCATATTATAAACGATATTACATAATAAACCAACATGTTACTTGACTAAATATGTATAAAAATGAAAGAACACCCTAATTTCCAACAGATAAGTTGAGGTCTTTTGTTATTACTTTAGGTAAAATGGTTAAAGTAAAACTCATCCAGAAAGTTCTGACGATAAAGATAAAACAACATGTATTCTCAATGCTGGCTGAAGCAGAACATGAACTCTTCATGTAAATCTTTAAATACAGGTCACAAATATATAATTTCCTGTTTAAAAAAAAAGCTCAGTAACTTCCTGAAACAGCTGCGCATGGTGGTTTTTAACAAACGTTTTGTGAACTGGCTAAATAGTGGATTTGTTGGGGACTATTTTCAGTGGAGGATGAATACAGATTTAGCCTCTAGGGGGCATTGTAGAGCACCACTGTACACAGGACGAGCTTAAAATAAACCTTTTAAACAGGTTAAACGTCCAACAGTGGTGCTCTCAGTTTAGGTTTTGTTGACTGAACTGTAAAGACGGCTGCGAAATAGTTTGAGTTCCCAAATTTTGTGCTTCAAAGCGCTGGCTTTTAATTGTGTTAGCATTAGCTTCTAATGGGACTATAATATCTATATCTGGGAGGACTGTTTTGTGTGACGAGATTTTTCTGTTTCACTGATAAAATGAAGAAAAAACGATAGAATCAAAAAAAAATAATCTAAATAAAAAATTAGCCAGAGTGCGACAGCTCGGAGAAACTTTGCTGCTGAATCTGAACCCATTTTTTAAAAACACCATCTCCTCACTTCTTTCCATTGCAGGAACTCGGAGCAGACACGAGGCTTACACCCATTAATCAGCTCTTTCAATCTTTCATTTTTGTTTCTAATAGTTCTGCAACAGCTTGACCATGACGTCTATCCCAAGCGTGACTGGACGCAACTCTACTTCTATAAGCAGGTACATAATAGAACAATGGTGGGAACCTGTCGGCTGCTGTGTTGTTATTTGTTATGTCTGCATGCATGGCGAGTTTTACATTGTTGATGGCGAGGACTCAAAGAGGAGTTAAACCATATAGCAATTCGTCAGGAGTCGCAATTTCTCCCCTGAAAAGGCTCTTAAAGAGGTTCTACACAGCGGTCCATGCACAAAGGTGTGGCACAACTTCCTGCAGTGGAAACCCTCCCTCCATGTAAACACCCTGTTTCACCTGATTGGGCCACGGCGCCTATGTCCACGCCCTGCTCCTCAGCCATGAAGCCCAGCACCGAGAAGATGGCGAATCCTGCCAGGAAACTGGTGGCGCTGTTCAGAAGGCACAGCAGGAAGGAGTCCCTGGAAACACACAATGGCATTCATTAGGCGCAGGGCAACTTGAATTTGGAAATACATTTTAACACGAAAAGGAGTGGTACGCCTAGGATTAAAGTGTTGTTAGGAAAACTGCGCAGAACCCAGCGAGGGTTTGATTCTCGTACGGCGGAGCTCTGCCCCTGTTACGAGCCAAGAGTCAAGTGCTTGGCTTCCTCCGTGAGTGTGCATGAGGGAGTCGTAGAGTGTGGGAAACATGGCAGCGAGGGCTTTTCTTTAAGGTGTGGCTGTATCACTGTGTTTTCTCTGTCCATTCCAGCCATTCCTTCTGGAAGCCATCTGACCAGCAGGGAGCTCACATCTTACATTTCAGTGAATATGGTTTGTCTGAGTGGAAGGAGACGCTGTGTGGCGGCTTTTTGTGCGGTTGTGTGTGTGACAAAATGTCTCACTTGTAGCAGTCATTGTTGTATTTGTTGTAACTGCCCAGGGCTGTGAGACTTCCCAAGCAGATTCCATAAGAGAAAAATATCTGGGTCCCTGCATCCATCCATACCTAGAGAGAGAGAGAGAGAGAGAGGAGAGAGTGAAGGGAGAAAATGAAAGGACAGATGAGAGGCAGCAGGAGCCAGCTGATATCCTTTATCTGTCTGCTCTTTAGGTTAAAAGGCAAGTCATACACGCTACACTCACTTAGTTCACAGATAACCTGATACAAAAGATAAACCCTGGGTAGATGTGTGTTTTTCCAGACTCTTTGGATTAGGGGATGTCTCTGTGAAAGTGCTGATGCTGTAAAATAACTCCAAAGAAGAGTGGAAGAAAAAAAGCCACTACTGAGTGTATAGAGAGTGCAACAGAAGTGGTAGTTGGACCCAAACAATTCCTTCCTCAATGAGTAATATTTCCGTGCTTCTTTTGTGATTGTTCCCGCTGTATTTAATTTAAATACCTTCATGCTATGAACCCTGTGAACTCTCAGCAGTATTTTGGCTCCTGTCCTCATTTCTTCACTGCAATATAAAGTCCACGGAAACAGCACAAGCAAGGCTGGATGCAGAGAGAACTTCAAAATGTTTTATGTGCAGCATGACACAGTTATAATGCCGTAAATCTCTATAATGAAAAAATGATTTCGGAGAATTTCGTTTGACAAAAATAGGAAAAAAACCTGGAATCAACATGTTTACAAAGTGCCCATAAGTTTTGCAAATACTAGAAAAAAACAGATAAATATTTCACTACTTTTAATTTGTTTCCACCCTTGTCCCCGATCTGCTCTCTATAAACACAACCTGCAGTTCATTCCAGTTCATTGAAAAGTCCCTGAACTTTTGTCACATGACGGTTGTTTGCAGCTGAGTCAGTAACGGCTTCTTAGTTGCTGAGGAGTGTATTTTTTTTTGTTTTCTACAGAAACTGATTACTTCAAACGGCTTGCGGTTTTTGCAAACTTTTAAATAAGACATGTAAAGTTATTTTTTTGAAATAGCACGATTTTTAGCTTAGATTTGCTTTTTTTAATTGAAGAAACTTACATTAACATATAATTAGTTCAAAGAGTGACGATTCTTTATTGTTTTGCAGTTTTTTGCTATGTGAATGCTGTAATTTTTTGTTTTTTATTTCAAAAATTATAAATTAACAAGCCTTTAAAGCCTACCAGTGGGTTTGGGGGTTCTGAGGTTACAGTATTTTCATTCACACAAACTTAAAAAAAATAAAATTAAGGTATAGTAACGACTGAAGCGACAAAGCAGCTTCCTCTGGTGGTAAAATTGTTCCTTTTGTTGACTATAAACGCTTCATTTCTGGTCTGTATCACACTGGTCCTCTAAATAATGGAACTTGTGCTCTGCATGAGGGCCCACCTGGACATTTAAAACAGACTTTTGCAGATCAAAAAGTCCACAAATTTAATCTCACCACCATAAACAGTCCTGCCTACTGTACTGTAGAGCAGACAATTCACCTCCTCACCTGACAGAGTGGCGCCCTACCTATAAGAGCAGCCATACCACCTGCAAGAACGACTAGAAGAATTTCCTCCAACATGACGTTTTTTTGAAAATATCGTGGCGTCTAAAGACATATAAATTGTGCGCTGTTTGTGTTTTTGTACCTGTGGGTCGGCCAGGCGGGTGTGGTTGGGTTTGAGGTAGTAGACGATGCCCTGCATCGCTCCAGGCAGAGTGGCACCGCGCACCAGCAGCACAAACAGCATGACATATGGGAATGTGGCTGTCAGGTACACCACCTAGAATGTACACACAGCGAGCGGGGATGTGGTCAGGACGGCTCGGAGAAAAACAGGAAGGATGTGACGGTGATGTCCTCAAACAGTGCTACTATAAAAGAGAACCCTGGAAAGTTGGGAGAATTAAAACCTGTTGACGGACGGCGGTGGAGCCACAGAATTAATGCGAAAGTCGGCCCCTTATTTCATCTGATACATTAAAGGTGCGGAAGCGTCACATTCTGTTTGCTTGCATCAATCATGAGTTCAAAATAAGAAACTCAGAGTGAAACTATTTCATTCTAGATTCCAAATTATTTTTCCACTCAAACAACGTCACTGGGAACGTTTTTAGGAACTGCTGGGCAACACTTCCTGCTTTCGTACTTCCTGATGGCAGCTGTGGTGGAGCGGGTTGTCCACTAATCACAACTTCGGCGTGTGAATAGAGCACGAGCAGAGCTTCCATAGAATTGTCAAGCAAATTTATAGTGCACTCTTTAAATATCTGCAATATGTTTTTTAAAAAGTACAACAAATATTCTACTGGAGGGATCAAAGAAGTTTCCTTTGCATCATTATAGTGGATGGTAACATCCAGGTGCAAACACTGAAATAGAAAATCTGTAGAACAGGATGGTGCAGGAGGCTGGATGAAAACATTCATGTATTTAACACCTGAAGTTTGTTGCAGAATGTTCCCATGACCTGCTTTTCTAGAAACTGTGGCTAAATGCTCTAGTTGCTGCTCCTTGTTGTTACCGGCAACTTCCTCGTCACGTAGCGGGGAAACCAAGCCGTCATCGCAGCGTTTCCTGCTCACCTTTCCGGTGGACTTGACTCCCTTCCAGACACAGAAGTAGCAGACGAGCCAGACGACGGCCAGACACAGAGCCAGCTTCCAGTTGATCGGACCCAGCTCGTCCAAACTGTTGGACAGGCGGAGAACTTCCCGTCTAGAACACACACACACACACGCTGCTGTTAATGCCTGCTGATATTCCAAGATCAACATCTCGATCAATGCTCTGAGGATAACACACTCACTCCCAAAACTCCATGACGGGAGAGGTGGCGTTGTCGGGCAGGCCGGTCACGTTACCGGTCTGGTTGTGTCGGTTGAACAGGACACACGCCTCTGCAGGAGAACAAACACAATAGTTAGCTCTTTGCACAGCAGCCTCACGCTGACAGCAGCTTTTCATTTTCTGCTTTTACTGACCGGTGTTCCACGTGTTGTTACAGTGCGACCACGGCAGCTCCGCCTGGAAGCTGTAGGACAGGTAGAAGAGAGCCCAGGCCAGGATGACGATGTAGTACACGCAACCGTGCAGGATCATCACCTGGCTGGCGTAGCCGAGTCCTGCAGAAACACAGACGGGAACAGGGTGTGTTGAGCTACACAAGCAGATGGTATCTTTATCTAATATATGGAAGATAAAGAAGCTTCAAAACAAGCAGGCACACATTTCTGTTATCAGGTCCACTCCAATTGAGTTTCAGATGAAAGCCTCCACTTGTTGAGACACTCGACTTGCAGCCCACATCAAGTATATCTTCATCAGGAATGAATGATCGTCCTATGAGGCCTTGAGTGGGTTACAAAGTGTCAGCTGTTTGAGTAAACAAATGGCTGTTTGTTGCGTCCGCTAATGAAATTCAGGCCTTAATCTGATGATGGTAAATGTTCGAACCAGGGAGGAATTCCTACAGAAGCATGTCTTTGTCTGTGTCGGATTGAATAATGTGCCTGGGGAAGCAGTCCATAAACTCTACGTGGTGCAAAGGCAGAGTTTGTCCCTGCGCTTAAACACATGGCCTTCACACAACGAGCTGTCAACTAAATATAGTGCGTGTGTGCAAATGTGTGCGCATCTGCAGGCCACATGGATCAAGAGGCTGAGCAGCACATGTTGCCACACTGGAAAAAAATAAAAGAAGGAGCTCCACAAACACAAATATTCTGTTTACAATGTGTCGTGCAGGTGGTCCAGCGAGCATGCTACCAGCCTCAGCTGAGAATTTCAAGGCCTGGTTTACAAGTACTTTGAATCAGTCAAAAATGAGTTTAACTGGAGCGTTTGGACTCTATAACCTCTTCGAAACCTCTTGAGCAACTTCTCACCTTCTTCTCAGAAGCATGGCTGTTACATCAGGGAGGTAAATAGCACCGCTTTCTAGGTACCGGTAGGGTCTTGTATTTTTAGGAAGGTGTGTGTGGCAGGTTGAGTTTTAAATGGCTGGAGCTCTATTGTTGTTGTGTAGCTCTGTTCTCACACTGCGATACCATTTTTCTTGTGGTGTTATCATCAACTAAGCGACACCTTAAAAATCCATCCTTGTCGTTTTTTAAGATTTCAATTGTTAGGCTAGAGAAATAAAAAGTTTTCATTTGGAGTTTTTGCTTCATTAAATAACCACAACTCACTCAGATCTACAGAATCCCCTGTGGGTGTCACATGCATATCGATCAATGACGTTTGAATCCACAGTATTTAGTCATTCTGCTGCACCTTTAATAAATACAGCAGATCAGATAAGTCCTTTCTACTGCCTGTTCTGGATCAGACTGATATCCAGAGGAAACTAAACAGATGGAATCTATAGCATACAAAAGGACTGACTACACCTTTGTGCAATATCAATTAACATAAAATTATTCAAGATCCTATCACCTTACAGTCATTGTATTACTTGGTGTTTGTTCTTTTGCGGAAATTCAAACTCAATGCAACAAAAGTCCGCACCTCTTTTATTCCTGACAATCAAATCTTTTCAATACTTTGCGTCCACCTTTATTGTTAATGGCCGAGTCAAGCCTCTTTCGCAACGAGGACACCGGCGTTGAACACATCTGTGGAGAAAAGTTTGACCTTTCTTAAGAAACCAATGTTAGTCGGCTGCTCTCAGTTGGAAGGAATGGGTTGCTCCACCTTTGCCTTTAAAATAACCCGAAGGCATTCTATTGGATTCAAGGCAGGTGACACACTTGGCAAGGTCAGACTTTCCCCTTTGTTTCTTGTGTGGTTTTGGCAATGAGCAATATTCCTCCTCTGCCAAGTCTCTGCAGACTGGGAGTCAACTTGTCAGGCAGGATTCTGGTATACCCATGGTTCCATCAATAAATGCCATCTTCCAAATAACACTTTCACTCACACAACCACGTATCACCACACTCCCAACCTCCCAGCTTCATTGTCAGGACTGTGCATTCACTGTGGGGGTTCATACCAAACATTCTAGACCCCATCTGAGCAGAACAAATCTATCCTGAGCTCATTTGACCAAAGAATGCGTTCACTATATCAATCAGGCTGCTTCTTCTGCTCTTTATCAAGGTTTCATCTTGCAGTCTTGTGCCAAACAACAAATCAAGATACTTTTTTTTCAAGGCATCAAGGATGATGTCATGAACTGTCCTTCACATTATCTGTGCCGATAACCCTCGTGTCAAGTCTGGAGCAGCTTCCCGTCAGCGGTGCACTACTTTGGAGGCCTGTATTTGCAATAGTCTTTCTCAAGTATTTGTTTTTGATTGTTCTGCTTCTGCACTGATACAATTCTGTATTACTTTACATATAAATGATATTGGGCTGTACTGTTTTGTAACCTATAACACAGGTTTACTTCCCTTAAAACTCTACTGCATTCCTTCCATCCAAGTATTTAATGGTCTAAATCAGCTTCCATTCCTTAAAGGTTTGGATTATCCAAGATCATGAGTACTGTTCTGTCACTTGTGTAACTGTGCTAACGCTTCACCGTGACTCCTTGTTTGGACGGCTAGATACCATGAAAACAAAACACTTGACTTCGATTGTGTTTTTCTTGGCAGTCTGGGAGCGTGCTACCTTCTGCACTCGTGACCTACTTTAGTTCACTTGCTAAGATTCATATTTTTTGATTGCACTGTTTATATGGGTTTTGCATTGATGTGGCCACAGGAATGCTTTGAAGGACTTTCACCAGTAGGGAGGAAGATTAGGACAAAAAGGCAAACGAAAGATAAGCAGGAAGAAGCCAAGAGAGAATGTCAACGATAAAAAAAGACATAGAAGAGATGACATGCCTTATTACACTGCTGTTGTCTCTTTGTATATTAGTTGTGCTGATATATCTTATCATATGTGAATCAGGTGTTGGAAACGCTTCTTTTTCTTGTCATTTTGGTCCTCTGTCCAGGTTAAAATGGCATTCCTGTGCTGTCCCTATGATGGAAGTTTTCAGTTCATTCTGTCCTGACCTTGTGTTGTAGCTACATGTTGTAATTTGTACAATGAAAACCCATATTTGTCATATCGGTAACAAACGAGAAAGTGGCACAACAACCTGTTTGTAGCTCTTCAAAGCACTTTGACTTCTGGTTGTTCTTGAACAAAGCCTTAGCTCACAGCGTTCCCTGATAGTGTACCCACGGATTAAAGTAGGCTAGTTATTATCGCCACTCCCCAGTGATAGGGTGACAGCTAAAATGCGTACAGAGTTCATATTCTGCTGATATTTCGTCACTGCTGCCCACATTCATGCGGGCAGTGACAACATATCAGCACACGCTATCATGAACTGGGTGAACATGAAATGTCCATGAGAGGACAACATAAACACCATAGTACAAACAGGAAAGCACATTCTGACTTAAATAAATCGCAGGCAACAAAGGGGGAGCTGAAAAAAATCAATGTATTCAGTAGTTTTCGTAGCACAAATCCCAAATCTTCCCCATTTTTTGGTCAACTTGACTTTTAGACTAAAGATTAGAATACATTATCTTTGCCTCAGGAAATTTGTGACCATTTTTTGCCATTTTTGTCATTTCAATTGATAACTAAATTATCACGAGTACCTCCGAATAACGGGCAGACGCTCCTCCAGGCGCTGACCCCTCCCAGGCTGGTGTACTGTCCCAGCGAGGTCTCCAGGAGGAACAGGGGGATGCCGCACAGCACCAGGAACAACAGGTAGGGTACGAAGAACACACCTGAACACAAAACACACAAGGGGGCTATTCACCTGTCCATCCTTGCGAAGGTATCTTGTTTTCACAGATAAAATCACCACAAACATTCCACGTGAGCATCCTGCAAATGTCACCTCTAGTTTCTGAGCGTGTGAAAAAGATGTGAGGAAAAAAATAAAGAGGAAAAAAATAAGCACAGATGACGACAGGGATGTGAGGAAAGAGGAAGACCATTTTTCAAACTTTCAAACTTCTTCTTTTTACCTCCTCCGTTTTTGTAGCAGAGGTAAGGAAACCTCCAGACGTTGCCGAGGCCGATGATCTGGCCAGCCACGGCCAGGAGGAACTCGGCCTTGCTGGCCCACTGGCCTCTGGCATGCAGGCCGTCTTTGGTGGCCTCCTTCCCATTAGGGAGGCTTCCTTGCGGGAACTTCTTTAGCAGAGTTTCAGTCTGGTGGGGAGGCAGTGGGTCAGCCATCACTGGTTCTGGCAGGGAAACACACACACCCCTGAGGAGAGAAAAAGAAAGAAACGAAGGGAAGAAAGATTAAGAACAAAAAGCCGTGGAACCGCTGAACCGCTTAAAAAAGAAAAGCAAACGTCCAAAAAGAAAAAAAGAAGAGCTTAAAGTACGCACATCTTCGCGGCGAGGACTGAAAAACAAGAACTGGAGCGTGTTTTCTGACCGTTGGTTTGGCTGCCTCACTTATCTGAAATGCGAACGCCAAGGACGAACTGATGTGGGTGTGCGTCCTTTATCTGCAGTGTGCAGGACACTCTGAGACTAAATTTGTCAATTTTATCCTGTGCATCTGCCTGGGAACTACAGCAGAGCAGCATGCCGAAACAAAAAAAAATCCCAATCTGATTGTTTTGACAAGTATTGTGATATGAGTCACAATTATAGTTGGAATGGTAATTTTTTGCATTTCTTTCCCACTGAAACAAACATAAAAGTTAATGATGAGAGTTTTGCTGCGGTCTCGACCAAACCAGCAACAAGTTTCATTACATCTGGAGAATATGATTTGTAGGCCAGGGCATCTGTGCAGCACCACAGAGCTTCCATTGTGCATGTGCATAATCGGTTAAATGTCAAAAGATTCTAAATGGTATCACCTCTCAATAATTAGGCTGTTTCTAAGATGACAAGACAAGTTTTTCCTCTCAGGAAATATCAAAAACATACTTTAGTATTGAAGATACAGGCCCCAAAGTAGAAACTCAGTGCAACAAAAGTGAATACACCTGTGATCGCTGACAGAAAACCTGAGTACACTTGTGATTTCTAGTTCGTGAACTGCATGAAAATGATTATGAAATGACCTGCAAACACCAGTCAGAACTTGAGGGACACTTAATAACTTCAACTTCTGTGGACGACGGCGTAATTAATGTTAAGTTGTTATGTTCTTTGGTCAGATGAGAGAAAGATAAATCAATTTAGCTCAGATGGGGTGAACCTGGCCACTCTACCACAGTGAATACATAGTCCTGACAGTAAGCCATGGAAGTGTGAAAGTGATCATGTGAGATTGCACGAGTGCAGAAGATGTTGGAGAGATGACACCCATAGAACGCCTGTGGAACTACTGGCTGAAAACATGACTCAGCATCTGCAGAAGCTTTGCAGAACAGGAATATTCCTGCATGACAGTGATCCAAAGCACGCTGCCAAAATCGCACAATAGTTTCAAAAGAAGGGCAAAAATACTACCCCGCCAAACACGTCGACTGACTTGAAACTAATTCAATACCTTTGGGGGTTTTTAAAGAGAAAGATGGAGCAGGTGGAGAACATCGAATCAGAAATGTGTGGATGCTGGTGTCCTCCAGGCTGAAGAGGACTAATTAATCAACTGTGCAGCCATAGTGGGAACTGTTTTATTCTCAGTTTTGCTCTGTGGTGCAAAAGCCTAACATCGTATACGAAAGTGTTTGGTTTACAAAGTTGAATACAGGCTGTATGTGTGTTTACTACAAGCATAGGTGTAGATTTTAGAGGTCAGGGACGGGTTCCTCTCAGTGTTTAGATTATACGCAATACAGAATGTCTGAGAGCCATAATGCAATGTATTCCAATGTAGTTTGAACTGTCACCTGATGCTTGACTTCTGTTTTTCTCTACATTCAGACATTTCTACCATAAACTGATGCATTTGCAACCAATCGGTGCACCAGGAGGCAGGCACATGTGTTTGACTTTCACCTTTGATACTGTTCTAGATAGTGTTGTTCTGAGCGAGTTGGTTTCCTCGCAGACTGTATATTATTTATCATCTCCCATCTCCGCCGTTTCAATCGCTGAAGCCGGATGTTTTGCACTTGCAGCTGTCTTGCAGGTACACATCTGAGGAACTTCTTCATCGTCTCTTGCTCTTCACAACATCATGTGCCCTCTCCTCTTCTTTCCCTCCACGCTCTCTCCCCTGCTGAAAGCCATGTGACCACAGAATTCTGATATAACCGACACACAGCGGCTTTTATAACCCACCTTTTCCCTCATCCACTATCTCTGGCACCACCTTTACGACACCAAAAAACAGTAGAAAGGATGATAATGTGAGGAAACGTGCGCGACTTTACAGCCTCGCTTGTCACTGAACGCCACATATGTAACAGTTCACATAACTATCGGCGCGGAATTGAGCAGCAGAGGCGTGTTTAGGTGTCGGGATGCTCGACAAATGTCCCCAAAACGATGATTTCTCCGTGACTGTGCGGCTACATTCGGTTGTTGCGTGTTTTGAAAGGATAAATTGCAGAGAAATCGACATTACATCGCCTACCTCTGCGTTTCCTGTAGTCCTTCACAATGCGACCACCCCCTCGAACGGGAGGCGGAATGGTTTGCTCCAGGCATGGCAGCTGAGCGCTGGCCGGTGCAGCTAGTCCGACCAAACGTACTGAAGGACTATGTTTGGGTCAAGCTTGGCGATGGGAGTTCGTAGTGGCAATAAGCAGGTTACAAAATGAACCACAAGGCATCATGGGTACTGAATGTTTTTTAAAGTTACAAAACTTCACCTCCCCCCTCACGCCTCTCCTTCCCACTTCCTTATCATCCTCTCATGAGGCACAGTGTGTACCAGGCCCGGGTCCATTTAACTGAGGTGTGTTGTTCATGTGGAGGATTATTGCAGCTACTCTTGTTGTTCCCGTTATCTGCACCTGCCTTTGTCCCCTTTACTTCCTGTTATAAAAACCTGTGATCCGTTCCTTCCTGCTTGTCTGCTTTTGGGTTCTCCATCCTGATTCCTTACATTCAGCTGTGACAGTGATAACTAGATGACATTATTTTACTATTTATAAAAAGATACACAACATATTTCACTCCACTATATCAAATTTTAATTTTGCTCCTACTCTGGATCCACCTCAATTTCTGATGTCAGCACCCTAAGGACACTCCCCCAGCCCTCCCTGCCTGCTCTTCTGGTGACCCCAGGCTATTTCAGGGCAATTTTACAACCACTGCTTTTCAACTCCTATCTTGCTCATTATTATCATATAATATGCTGTTTTTTTTTCATAACAGTTGCCATGCACTTGAATTAGGGCTTCCAGTATCTCTATGTATAATAATAAAGACTAAATTACTCATGATAATAAACTGATTAATGATGAGTCATTAACTACTCTTGTTTGTATAATAAAGTGCAAAACTCAAACATGAAAAAACAACTACAAAAAAAGAGCTTTTCATTTTGGACAGTCGTGCAACTCCAAAAGTCATCTATGACAATGTGAACAAGCATAGATCAGCGAAAGCAACTTTTTTTTCTCCTTGTCATGCAGTTACTCAGCAGCTGGAATTTTCTTTTCAGTTTTAAATCAGGATGTTAAGTTGCACAACAGTAGCATGGATAGAATGTCGTGCTAATAGGTTGCACTGTTACGTGCACATTTTGACAACAGAAAGAGAAAAATAAGTAAATGAGATCAGCTGTATTGTTAATTTTGTTGTATTACAATACAGTTTATGTGAGCACAGAGAGCAGGAGAGAAGCCTCTTAGCCTGGATCACCACTTTTGCACACAGGTGACATGCACTGACCAAAACTTTTGAATTATTGCAATTAAAAGCAAATCCATTACTTTATCTTGGATTTTAAACAAAGTAGAATATAATTTTGACTTCTCACTCAAAACATTCAGTACATCTATTTACTTTTTAGCACAATTAGCTGTTTGCAGTCACATTCGAGAACCAAATTTTAAAATGTATTTGATTTGTTTTTGCACACATAGCATTTGTACCATACTTTATTAATTTTTTTTTTTTTTACACTTTGTACATTATATACTTGTGATATGACCAAACAAAACTAAACCAATCTACCTGTTGTGTTTTCTAGTGTGTAACATGACCTGAATGTGTTTTATGCCAGCACTGCTAAATGCCCATATTCCATTTAAGCCCTCTTGTACTCATTTATATCTCTATATATAATCCATACAGGTTGTTGGACTTTGTTTGTTCAACTTTGAGATAAATACGGTGTTCTGGGCCATGTTGTGGACACGTTGTTCTGTAAATGTTCTGGGCGTCACAACAATTAAGGCTACCTGAAGCAGGTCTCCACAGTTTTAACAGGCTGTGTCACTGCCTGTTCTCATTCAGCTGAGCGTTTATGGCCATAATAAAAAAATAAATTAAATAAAATCCAATCTCCTGCTTACACGCTGTCCCATGGACTTCATTCAGAAAATAACATTCCACTGCCATTAGGTTACATCACTCGGTGTATAAATCACATACTAAAAGTGGAGGACATTGCACCCTAACCTGCATATGGGAGCACTCATACAAAACTCAGTGTCAATTTCAGGATCATGCAGTCACCGTAGGATATGAGCTGCACATTTGTAATTTGGTTTCAAGGTTGAAGCCTCAGTTGATCCATTCATAGATATTACAGTCCTCACATCCTAACACTACTGCTTACACTTACTTCAGAAGGCTCTTTATTCACTGGTTATGTTTCATGCTACATATATGCCTGCCACTCCATCTAAATGTTTCACACTATATCAGGGGACTCAACAAGATCACAGTTTGCATTTCCCACCCTCTTTAGGAATAATCTGCTGCATACATTCTTCAGAAAGTAATACGTCATCACTGAAGTTAAATTATCCTTTACGCAGATGATGTTTTATGTTACCTACAAGTGCCTCCAAGCTCCTTTCGAGACCTTAAAATTTGCTGATTCATTTTTGCCTCATTTTATATTTAATATATTCAATAAATGATGGTCAGTCATCATTTTCACTTCCACAAAAAAAGTACACATCTACGAATTCACCCACACTAATTTACTCCTTCTCAATTTCACTTCCCCTACTTGTATTACATGGCTTTTGGCCTGATTGTGTTGCTCTGAGAAATCTGTCTAATGTTGTTCAGTATTATTTATTGTATCCAATAGCAGAATTCGATATTATTGTTATTGCTGCTTCACAAAGCCTCCTAAAAATGTACAATAATTGCACCATCTAACTACAGCACATAACAGTACATTTCCAGGAGAGAAAGAAGCAGGTAACTGCCACAATAACTTTCCAGTTCATCTGCTGTGCTTTGTCTTGTCAAATGAACTCTCCTGAATTATTTTTGTAAACACACAGACTGCAAAAATGTTTTTTTTCCTCATTAAAACATTTAAACCTGTTTTTTAATCACTGTAATGTCAGCTTAGGTTGTAAAAAGTAAAAGAAGCATAAAATCCACAATGATACCTTTGTACACTGACATCCATCAGATTGTAGAAAAGATTTACTGAGTTGTGAAAAAACTCATTTCCATGTACAGCTTAAGTCTGTAATTAAGCCCCAACATGAATTTATGTCACAATTTACTGCAGCCTCCCTCATTAGACGAGGAAATTCCACAAAGAAAATCAAGAAGTCAAGGGTCAAGAGTCAGGAAGTGGTAAAAAACAGTCTTGCAATCATATACAATGCACAAATTCCTTAACTACACGTGTGCACTCCACACACAGCCTGCACGTTCTCTCTCCAAATGCAGACTCTGCTTCGCCTCCCTGGGGCCTAATAAAACCCCAACGTTAAGGGTCCTTCAATACAGTCACCATTGTTCTGTCCTGACAAACCCGTAGCCTCTTTAAACGTGGTGCCTCGGCATGTAACTCAGACCAGGCGTAGCTGTGCACCGTTCCTCGATGCTTTATGGCTACTTTTATTGGTGTCTGGTATCCAGGGCAGTGGGTCACTGATATACAGTGGTAGGCATTGTGAAACTCTTCAGGCCGGCCTCAGTCCTGCGCCACAACCGCAAGGTTTTCAAAACTTTTAACAGGAAGAGTCACTGAAGCTTGTTGCAGAGCGTGACGGCAGTTCAGCTCTCATTATACCATCTGCTTTGAGTTCATGAAAACAATCTAAATGCTCATATAAGGTTCACAAAGGTTTTGAGATCAAGTCAAATTTTAGAAACTTAATATCGAGATTTAAAATGATCTGTTGAGAAAAAGTACCTGAGCTGGTGAGCAAGATGACACCTTCTGTGGTTTAATTAAAGTAATTCTAGGTCTTAAATTTTCCGTAATGTCTATTTGCGAGTGTGTGAAACTCAGTTGTTGAAGTTTTAGGATTGGTTACAGATATCAGCCGATAAGCGGAAGGTCTCAGGTTCACTATGGCGTCAAAACAGCGATGCCTCCTCACGTCGAGCCTCCAGAAAAGACACCCAATATGTGCCGACTCGCTCACCGTAAGCCAATCTGGATGCCAGCCACAAGGTAACAGGGCCGTACAAACACTGTTTATGTGAGATCACTGTGAGCTTAAGGACAGGGTTACCGGCTATGAATACAAGCATACTCTGGCTAAGCTTCTGTAATCTTTTGTGTTCTTTGAATAGGCCGTCTAATTGTGACAGGAAAGCAGAAGAAGTATTCAGATGGAGTGCGTCACCTGGCATCTGGCTGTTGGTCAGCAAGATACAGATACTGTTATGTAGCTTTGGTGAGGCCAAGTCCAGCTGTTTCCTCATTTACAGTTTTTATGCTTAGCTTAGCCAACCATATCTTGGCTCCATAAGACAATTTTTGGCTTATTTCAACCTTGTATTTCCCATTCATCTGGCTACTGTGGCTCTAAGCATCATGCTAAGTTTGTACTCTTTGTATCATGGATGAGAGTAATCCCACTCCCAGACAGCAAGCATTTAAAATAATTCATATAAAATCGTTTTTCTTTGGAAATGAGAGGCAAAGAATTCAAAGCTGAACTCTTTAAGCCACAATAGCCTCATTAATGGGAAACTAGCCACATTGAAATAAACTGAAATTCTCTTTTACTACAAAGACATGAGACTTATTTCTATATTTTCATTTCACTACTGGGCAGAAAAAAGCACAATATTCTAAAAATGCCGAACAATTCCTTTAACCCAGCGTGCAAACAACATGAACATCGCCTGCTGGTTCTGTGGTATTGGCCGCCTAATTGAAGCCAAGCCCTTTGCTTCTTTAATAAAAACCCGACGCAGATAAAGTTTGACAGCTTAACAAAGGATTTAATGATTTGAATTGGGTAAAAACAACAATCATGTTTTACTGGACAGATTTTCTTCGTGACCTGTCCATTTGAGCGGAGCGATTGTTTGACAACACAAGACCATCTATTTGATTACAGTCCTCCAACTATCAGACCAGAAAGGTTGAATGTAATACAATATTTGGACAATGATTAGAATTTTTTTTTTTTTTTTTTGTGCAATCTGACCAGACACATTAATCTGCTGTCTAAACCTTCAGGTCAATCACATTGGGAGAAGTTAACGTGGTCTTCTTGCCTCGTTTGAACCCTCTCAAAGCGGAGCTTTTAAGGTCCAA